TGAGTTATTTTTTTTTGTTATTGTCAAATTTTGTATTGAATCAGGTAGTGAAAGGTTTCAGATATGTGAATTAGATAAAGAAGAAGATAAAGATATCTGCGCTGTTGATTTCATTCATCTCATCGATCTCTGTTCCAAAAATACTACAGCTTATACGATCAAAGTCAATGAAATGTGTGCATGCTCCATGAAGATTTACTTTCTGAACAGAATTCTTTTAGTTCACACTTTATATTCGACCTGATACCATTTCTCTCCGGCTTATATAATCTCTAATAATGAAAAATTCAGCTGCTTTAGAAAGCTAACATATAGAGATTCAATCGATTTCGTTGAACTGAAAGCAATACTCTTCAGAAGAGACAAACTATATCTCAGATACGGGCTCAAATCAAATTTCTAGTCCCATCAAGACAAATTTTAAGACCGATCCTAGAAAGATAACCTAAAAAACTGCATTTTCTAAAAGTCTTACAAGCAGACAAAATATTGAACATAAAAAGAAATGATACGTAAAAGAGTCTACCATCAAAATAAATTGAGGCATTGACCATAAAAATTTAATTTTCAAAAGCATTTGTAGAGTACCATCTTTTTGGTTTTCTCGATAATTCTATATGGATTAATGAAAACAAGAGACGAGAATGAAGCCAATTTTTCATGGGGCTACTTTCTTTATAGTTGTTCATTTTCTCTCAGGAACGTATTTCGGCTTGTCTGCGTAACTCTACTACCAGAGAGTAACAGCGTTACGTTTTTTGCTCATGTTATTTAGTCTCCAGAATTTTTTCAAAATGTTGAAACTCAGAAGTAAATGAGCCATTTTGTAGAAAATTCAATTCTGTATCGATCGGCCTGGCTTTGAAAATTTTTGAGCAATAATCTCTTGGTTAGGAAGTTGAAAACAATAGAGTCACTTTTTGGAAATTCTTTAAAGTGGCTCTATTGTTTTCAACTTCCTAACCAAGAGATTATTGCTCAAAAATTTCGTGACAAAAAAAAATTCGTGACGCATTGTATGAACTAACTATTTTTTCTAATTCTAGAAAACTTTTATCTTTCGCTGAAATCAGTGGTTGAAGCTATTCGTTCATGCATGAATAACAAGGACATTTAACAAAAATGTTCAATGTATCTAGTACTGGAACGGGATGATATTTTCACAGTCAATTTTCATGATTAGACATAAACATATCTATAATATATTGTTTATGAAATAATTGTACATCCGTATTTTCGTTTCTAATATTGCTTGTTTTGTTTCTGTCTATAAAAGTGGCCATTGTTTTGTATGCGCAAAATATACGTAGTTTCCTGTTTCAGAATCATTTGTAAAATATACTGAGTTATATAATTCCATATAATGCATGAATATATCAGTTTTTATCTCTTGTAAAATTTCAAAATTAATTTGCTCCACATATGATGCCAGTCTTAATAAATAGCTCTTTCTTACTGAATACGAGTGAGAACGGCTTGCATGTTTATCAGAATAATTTTTAAGCATGTCTAATTGGTACTTTATATTTTCACTATTAGGTGTACCATTCCACCTTGTCTGTAAGCCAATTGATTCAGCATACGTTTCATTTTGTCTACGTTTATACATCTAAAACGTGATTTTATGCTTATAAAGTCGATTCTTATTACTAAATAAATATAATTTTACAACCGCCTATTTATTAAAGAATAGCCCAACCTTTGGAAACTTGGGCTAGTTCTTACTACACGCACAAAGGTTGTGTTTTTCTCTAATAAATAAGCGGTTGTAAAATTATATATATCTAAAGATATTTGTGCATCAATTATAAAAGTCAATCTTAGCGAAGTATCAAAATAATGATTTATTAGAGGCAGTCTGTGTATACGGGAAACGGACAGTTGCTCGCATGCGCAGATGCTCATCGTACACTTGCTCACCGAACATTAAATAGCAACAATAACGCAGTTTATGAAATGTATTCAAACTAATTAAAGTACCTATTAAAAGGGAACCTTAAAATCAGTTATAAAACATGTTCAAACTAATCATTATTTCTGATATTAAATATTTTTTATAGACTTGATGACTGTAGATAAACAATATAATTTTTCAGCAGTCTTCGCATGTCCATGTAAGTCGAATGCGTCTGAAGGAGCGCGTTTAAGCACGTTTCATTTCGAAAAGACGCATTTTCGACGAACAGTCTTCAGACGCCTTTGCATGCGGCACGTTTAAGCGCGTCTGGAAGTGTTTCGTGTCTTTTTGAAACGAAATGCATCTATATGCGACCAAATTTAGCGTGTCTTGATGCGTTAGAATAAGGAGCATTTTAACGCGTTTTTTATAGGAGAAACATGAGAGGCGTTAAGATGCACTTTTACTAAACGCGTCTCGACGCGTTTATTTATCGTATTTCCAGAGAAACGCGCAGCTTTACCAAGCTATTGTTGGCGCGTCCAGACGCATTAGAACGAGACGCGTCTCCTTTTTTTTCAGTAAAAGATGCGCCCAGACGCGTTCTATGCAATCAGATTTAGTTGAAGCGTTTCGACGCGTCTGAATGGGACTCGTTTAAACATGTCGTGTTTCTTTCGCTACAGAAGGATGCGTCCTGTTCAGTCACAGCAAGCTTCTTGCGGCTAGACTAAATAAGACGCATTTAAACACGTCTTTTCATTCTGTTTAAAAGGCGCGTTCTGTTGTTCTTCGAAAACTCCTATTCACGCTGATATACAAATGTTTCTTTGTTTTTCTCATTGTGTTCAGTTCACATCTTCTACTACAAAGATTAGGATATTTATACAGTCTTGAGTTGGTTTAGAAATAAACAACGTATGTGCAAAATTAAGCTTTAAATTCCAAGTGGTACATCTAATGAAATATTTAGAATACGCTCAATAGTGACAAAAAAAGCTGCAGAAGTACCAGTTTTGAAGAGAAGCTTCTAAAAAACACGTTCTCGCTCGGAGTTTCAGGAAGAAGTACTATAAAACAAAATATTTACTTTCATCCTTTTCCTGCTCTTACTATGTTTACTCTCACTTCGAAACCTACAGACTGATAAAATATAGAGCAAGTACCAGGTTCAGTTAGCTGAACGGTAAGTGCTTTGCTTTATAACTTCTCTTTCTGTTCTAGGTCGCATGTTCGAGTCACCGTAAGTGCGTCTTCTATACCTGTCTTTCTTTCATGCCAGTTAAGTTCTTCTATCCTCCTCTTCGTTTCTAATAGCTACAAGACCTTCATTACAGAAATTTTATTTGAACAAAAAAACACTTTTTCGAAAAAACTATTAAATTTAAAAAAGAAACGCGTTTTCGACTCGAAAATATATGGGTTGGGACAAGTATAAATTGCAAAGAATTTTTAGTATCGTACAATCTTACATACCTAATTACAATAGGTAATCGAAAACGTGCACGTTTTCTTCAAGACTTATCTACTGCACATTGTTCTAAAGTCTTTACTCTTATTTATTCAACATCTTTCATCCATGCACAAATATGAATTCATGAATGTGTGCAATCGTGAAGTATTTTACAGACAGTTGTATCGAACCGCAGTCGTAATTACAGATGATCATAAAAGGGAAAACCCACAGCTTCCGTATATCATTTCCTCCTCTCACCTGACCTTATTAGCCTCCTTTAAACTACACAATTCTCATGTCTTTCCTTCTGAATTCTAGGAGTGAACTAATGTAGTACCATACAGAGAACTACTTACCTATGTACTAGGTTAATATCGATACATAAATTGATATTATGATTCAGCGTCAGTCAACTGCTACTGGTACATACCTACTCACGGTATAGTTCCGTTCTATGATCATTTCAAAGAAAGGTGATCGAACCACACTTCGTGTTACGAATCCGTAACACTTTCTATCGCTTCGTAAAAAATGTGAGACTAAAAGAGAGAATGTGTTAGAAGTGGAAAGTTCTAAATTTTGTACTGATGAAAATATACATAAGAAGCTCTTTTTGAATCTTGCATGTAGTCATTTGTAATATGATTAATAACTTCTGTAAGTACTGTAATTATGTGATTTAATACAATGCATTCGTTTTCTTAGTTTTTAGATTATTAGAATTGACAACAGGCGCCATCATATTCGAATGCGTCCGGAAATCGTTCAGACAACGATCGATGAAAAATATCTTGATCTCCAGCAGAATCCTCAACTATCTAAGTGGACAAACATGGGAAAGAATAATGAAATGATCTTCTTGAATAAGGAAGGTGCTTATATTGAAACAAATGATCTTATATTCAAATTTATGGATGATAACATTGAACATAGGCACTTTCTTGATCTGGGAACTGGAAATGCAGAATTGTTGTTACATGTAAATAAGCTATTGAATATTCCTTTTGATTGCATTTTTGGAATTAGCGCTGTTGATCATCGACCAGTCGATTCACTGATTCCTAATACATCTTACTTCATAACGAATATCGACAATCTTAATGAATGGTCAAATAAAATAACAACATTCAGGTACAGCCTAATTGTATCTAGTAGTACGTTTTATCATCTGGTTGATCCTTTAACTGCATTAGAAACTGTTTACGATCTGCTGGAAATAAATGGATTAGCAATAATACGCCATATTCCACTTTCTATTTTACGTATAAACGCACAACATCTCGAGCTTCTACTTCGACGACAGGGTCATACAGTTTGTGTCATCGAAATGATGAATTCTTCGGGTAATTATCTACTTGCTACTGTTAGAAGAGTTGAAATTCCGGAGTTAATTTTGCCCTTTCAATATACAGGAGACATTACACAGGTCGATTTCGATCTCGATCATTCGAGATGCGTCTGGAAAAGTCTGATTATACTAAACGATAACCTATTGGACTCAATTTTTCATGCTGATTCCGATTATGGTATTTGTTTTGATATTTGAACGAATTTTCATGTTAAAAACCTCGGATTACTTTGAAAAACCACGGTTTTGTAGAAACCTCGGATCTCAATGAAACTTTGCGCACATGTTAGGCATAGTGAGAAACGGTTGTGGTACAAGTTTCAATCGATCTAAGCTCTCCTGGATGATAGGAGTGGTCCAGAAGACGGAAAACCCTCAAATTTTCAGTGAGAACCATTTTTCTCTTCAACGAAAAACGTTTTCAGAAATGTACACACGTAACTTTGTAGAGCTTCAGAAGGCGGTTCGAATGAGATGCGAGCGAAATTTTTAGCAAGACAAACTCCAGGAGAAATAGCATATGCCCGATCGTGGTCTGAGAAGTCCGGTTGCAGTTTTTGAAATTTTCTCTTAAATTCGAGAAACCTCCTAGAAGGTTGAAACACACTTCATTCAACTCAGTGTTTGATGCTAAATCCGAATATGTGTGTTTGGACGTAGACAAATACGTTGATAAAAATTACGTAATGTCTATGCAAAACATATTTTTCGGTTATCTTTTGCAAAGGAGAACAAAATAAAGCTATAATATGATGTTGTAGAGTACCCTGTGCAGGCAATGAAATACTGTGTAATAAGATTCATATACATAAGGAAATACTCACAAAACAAGATGTACAAGTTTAGAGTATTATATTTATTTCGACTCGTTATAAATGGTGTATTGATCATATTTTAATGCTTATATTTCTTGTTTCGATATACACAGATCTTATAATGAGCAATCAGTTCTTCTCACTTAAATAAAGCATATTAAATCAAGTTATTGTCAACTCAGATTATGTTAATCTCATGAGTTTGACTATACATATCTCTAAATAATATCATAGGAACAACTGCAATCCATATCAAATTTTCCATTGTTTTATTGGAATACCAATATTTTGGAAGAAAGTTGTATTTTGCTGTTGATGTAGAATATATTCATCGTTTGTAATAGTACTAAGTTGGACTGCTGCATAAGTATAAGTACCAGAGACTGATATAATGTCTCCTGTATATTGAAAGGGCAAAATTAACTTCGGAATTTCAACTCTTCTAACAATAGCAAGTAGATAATTACCCGGAGAATTCATCATTTCCATGACTTGGTTGTTCCATGAATGGTTGTGGTACCCAGTTTCAAGTAGATATGACCTTGTCTGACTGAGGAGACGGTCCAGTATACAGAAAACCCTGAAAGCGCCCTTGAAGCCCACTCTCCACAAGGAAAGAAAAGAAAAGTGTAGTGTTGACGACAACATGCCCCCGCTGGTTTTTGTCCTCTTTTCTGTAAGAGTGTGCCTGTAGACGATGGAATAAATAGAAAAGAAAGGAAAGAAGCTACTATGCCTTATCCGTTTGTCACTAAACTCAAATAACAGGTAAGGAAGAAAAGAAAAATAGTTTTTTCCATTTTACTGTCATCACACACACACACAGCTCCAGAAACGTGGTAAGATTTTTCGTAGACTCTTGGGAAGAAAATGAGCTTGGCTTAATTTTTCTCTACTTCGATTACCTGGCAGCAGTAGCAGAACTGTTCGAATGACCCCCTTTTTTCGTATAGGGAACATGGATCAAATTCCTACTGAGATAATGGAGAAGATTCGTCTTCATTACGCTATCGACTCTCTATCACCAAAGAACCTATTTGAACATCGATTTGTTTCTCAAAAATGGAATTCAATCATTGAAAAGAAAATGCTCATACACAAATATTTCCGATTACGAAAACCCGGAGTTTACCTTAGTCCAATAGCATGGAATGTCGAAGGAAAAACGGTGGCAGGTGGAAATTATGATCATGATCTTGATAAATTCGATTGTCCATGCTGTAGCAAAGGACTTGTGAACCCAAATGAAATGAGTTTTGAGGTCATCCATAAATGACGTCATCGATTTGGAGGGGGGAAGTTCACGAAAAAGTGACGGTCGATGACGGTGGGGCGGGTCCGCGGAAAAACCAAGTCACTGACACCCCTAAACTTTGAGCCGACGCCAGCAAATTTTTTGAGGTATCGACCTAATTGTTTTGGGTCACTGAGACGTTATCAGTACCACTTTTTGAAAATTTTTCAGTGACCCGAGACGTTTTTACCCCACTTTTGAAAAAACTTTTTTACTATACCCCCTACGAAAAATGTTTTTTTTACTATACCCTCTTGTGGCGGCGACTCGGACTTGAATTTGTTCTTATCCTTATTTTATTAAAATTCGACTATATCCGATGGTACAATAGCCTAAGCTCTTTTTACAATGAATGTTGCCTATGTTTCTTTTATGAATAATAATGACAGCATTCTACTCTATCTCATTAAGAAAGCAGAAAAAATGGCGGCTAAAGATTACATTTGCCAAGAAAAAGAGAATAGTACTGTAACACGACATATATATATATATATATAATAAAATGCACGACTCTACTCATACGTATGAGCACGGGACATAATTAGACTAGAACAGAACAACTAAAAGAAAGAACAACTTAAAAAGGAAAACTAACCATAAATCAATCATAACAGAGATACAACATATATATGTATATACATACAAATAAAATAAACAGCTAAAGAAGTTGCACTCCTGGAGAGATGTCGTCATGTTTCAATACTAAGAATTCAGCTATTGACTATCTTAAGGTTGACAGCTCCAAGTATTGACTATCTTAAGGTATCATACCGTTACAGGACTCTCCTGAGTTGATAAAATTTCGTCCTCGAAAATTAAAATAGCGCATAGGCGTGTATGTAGTGTTGCGATTGGACTGATCGTTTCGACCTATTGCAATAATCAGTAGAATGTAAAGCTAGAGAGAGAGATAAAGGCTTGTAAGAAGTTACCTGCCAATAGCAGATAACTTCAGCAGATGCAAAAAGCTAGCTGCCAAAAGAAAAAATGTGGACGAGGTCAAGATGACGACCGAAAAAGCAATTTTTTAATTGTAGTTATGTGCGCTATAAACTTTCAAACGAGATAAATTGTTTCTGATGTGTATTTGATGGAAATAAAGCATATAGCGCTTTAAATAAGATAATACAAGATGATTAAAGGCAGAGCGCTATCCACCGCTTGGTGTTCTTTTTATAAATAACCAATGAGAATGCATAATTTATTTTTTAAAATTGGATCGTTATAATAAAGCAAACAAAAGAACTGTTATTCCGTGCTGTTGTACGTGAGCTGTTAGTTGTTTCGTGAAGCCTGTCTTTTGTAGCAGAGATTATGAAAATGAATAAGAAGAAACAGCATGCCATTTTTAAGATGAATTTGCTCATGGGTTGCCTCATTTTACTGCGCGTAAACTAGCATTTCAGCCCTAACAAAGAATATTTTTGTGAATATTTCGTTGGTGTTGTATTAAAGAATTTCGTTTTATAATGAACATCAGTTCTGTGGTTTTAAGTCTCTAGTCAATTG